AGGTGCCCCAATGAGTAGGTCTTTTTAAAAAAAATTTTATTCATTTGAGAGAGAGAGAGAGAGCATGAGCAGGGGGAGGGGTAGAGGGGCAAACAGACTCCCCGCTGAGCAGGGAGCCTAATGTGGGGCTTGATCAATGGATCTGTGACGAACACAATGATGGGAAAGCATGGAAGCTGGCCAGTGTGGAAGCAGAGAGGATCCCCTCAGCCTGATTAAGCAATCAGGGAGGGCTTCCTGAAGGAGATGAGTCCTGAGTTATGTTTTGAAGGCTGGGTGAAAACTAGCTAAATGAAGAAGTGAAGGACAAGTATTCTAATGAGTATACTAACAAAGGGAGCAGTATGTCTGGAAGAACAGTTTTATTTGGGAGCACAAGATTTGAGAGGGAGAAAGGTGAGGGGATGAGGCTGAGAGGAGGGTGGGAGCAGATCTTGACGGGCCTCATAAGCCTAGCTGAGAGGTGTGATTTACCCCAGAGGGCAATGAGGAGCCTTGGAAGGGCTTTCAGCTTTGCCTAGAGTGGGCTGGGAGGTGAGGCAAGGCAGTGAACAGGACGGGCAAGGATGAGGCTGAGGGTCTGTGGCTCGCCCTCTCCCCCACACCACCCTCCAACCACACACGGCTTTCTTCCTGAGCTCTACCACAGTGACCTTCAAAGTTGAAGGTGCATCAGAATCACCTGGAAGATTTGTTAAAAACCCAGCTTGCTGGCTGGCTTCTACCCCCAGAAGGGTCTAGTAGATCTGGGGGTGGGTCCCAAGAATTTGTATTTTATTTGTTTGCTTGTTTATTCTTAAGTAATCTCTACACCCAACCTGGGGCTTGAACTCACAACCCGGAGATCAAGAGACACATGCTCTTCTGACTGAGCCAGCCAGGGGCTCCAGAATTTACATTTTTAACTAATTTCCAGGTGATGCTGCTAGTTGGGGGACCCCACCTGGAAAACTCTTAACATTCCTGTCCATTCTCACCTTAAGGCCTTTGCACCTGCTCTTCCATCTCCTTGGGATGCTCTCCCTTAGATTTTTGTCACCTCCTCAGAGAAGGCTTCCTTGACCCCTCGGGGCAGAGTAGCCATTCAATCACCATCTTCTTGCCTGTTTTGTTTTCTTTACAGCACTGGTCACATTTAGAAATTATCTTGTTACTATATTTGTTGACTTCTTTATTTGTTGTCTGTTTGCCTCTATTAGAATGTAAGCTCGGGATGCAGAGATCTATCCCTGGGGGCCTAGGACAGTGCTTGGCATACAGCAGATACGCAGGAAATTGTTTATTAAATTAAAAGTGGGTAGGATGGGCTTCTGCAACCTGGGGAATCTGCGGGGGCTGGGTTTTCTGGCGGTGGAGGCACCAGAACAGAAAGCTGTTCGGATATTGAACTGAACGGTTGACATAGGTTAGAAAAAGTCATCCTCTTTTGGGGGAAGGGACAGGGTGGGGTGAGACAGAGTTTAAAATAGGTGACCTTTCAAGCAGATGTGGGAGGAAGGAAGGGCCCACTGACATCACAGCTGAGAGGCCCAGAGCTCCGTTGTGGTCCAGGGGCCAGGGGCGCCAGAGCAGGCCCCCAGCCTGAGTCACTCCCACCTGTAGGGCAGGAGACCAGGTCAAGCCTGGGGGTGGGGGTGGGAGTGTGGTCCTGGGGGAGTGCAGCTGGGGGTGCCTGCTGCTGCCCAACCTGGGTCCTCCTTCTTTCTTTCCCCTGCCCTCCCGATCACTTACCCACTGCATTGTAGAGACCTGGGTAAGACACAAGCCCTCAGTTTCCTCATCTGGGAAGTTGGGGCAGGGAGGAAGTTTCCAGGCCAGGCTTCTCTGCATGCCACAGTTGACCTCACCCCAGCTATTCACCTCCACTCACTTCACTCAGCTGTGCCTGAAGTTCTGGAACCAGTCCTGCCTTAGGCCTCTGTTCAGGCTCTTTGTCTGCTACCCTCTACATGCACGTGCGTGCACGTGTGTGCACACACACGCATGGCCCTCTTCTCCTAATGATGCTCTCCATCCTCCAGGTTCAAGGCGCTGGGTACAGGCAGGACAACAGCATGGGCTTTCGAGCCTGACAAAGCTGGTCCCAGACCAGGCTGTCCCCGATTCCCTGGTGAATTTTCACTCTTCTGACCTCAACTTTCCTTCCGATAGAGTGGGTACATCCACCGCTTCTCGGCCTCTTGGCTAAGATCAAGTGTAGAGTGGGTATATCTACCTTCTAGATTGTGGTGAAGATTAAAAAAAAAAAAAGCCAATTATGAAAGTGGGTTTCTTTTGCCCCTTTTTTCTGTGTTTTTTTTTTTTT